GTAATGTGACGTGAAATTTATAACTGTTTATTCTTGTACTTACCTTAAAATTTATCAAATAATGTGGAGCATTTTTTACTTGTTTTGTTATATTCGCGAAAATATTCATCAAATAATTCGAAAAATTTTTAAGGTAATATGATTAATTAGAATTTTATGATCATAAATGATTAATTAGCAAATATTATATCATTAAATTTGGTTCCAACGGCTACTTAACGGCTATATTGCAACGGCTATTTACCAATATCTATATATAACACTACAATTCATTTTCATAATACAAACACTCAAAATATATTGTTTTAAAAAAAAAATGTTTGATCCATTACTTATAATTACCATTATCTTGTTTATTATATATGTTTTCCTAATTTTCAAAATGATGTATCGTACTGTTGGATTTAAATTTTATGTATTAGGCCTTTGTATAATGTGTTTAGTATTTGCTCTTGTGTACGTCTTGAAGAATTAATGATTGTATATGTAATTTTTTTTTCGAATCTCAGCATTGATGTTTTATTTTATAGTTATCATGGCAAATCTGGTCAAACTCGAATTCGAAGCTCTCGATATCTCTGGGAAAAATTATATCTCATGGACATTGGATGCCGAAATTCATTTGGCGGCAAGGGGATTGGAAAAAACAATAATATCCCCAAATGATTCATCAATACAGGAAAAAGCTAAAGCAATGATATTTCTGAGGCATCATTTGAATGAGGCTTTGAAAAATGAATATTTAACTGTTAAAGATCCTGCGGATCTATGGAAAGCCTTGAAAGAAAGGTATGATCACCAGAAAACGGTGATTCTCCCCCGCGCTCGTTACGAATGGATGCATTTACGCTTCCAAGATTTCAAAACTGTTAACGAGTACAATTCGGCCATGTTCCGCATTTGTTCGGTATTGAAATTATGCGGAGAAAACATAACTGATTATGATATGCTGGAAAAAACGTTGTCCACGTTCCACGCTTCAAATGTACTATTGCAGCAACAATACAGAGCGAAAGGCTTTGTATAATATTCTGAGTTGATTTCTTGTTTGCTGTTGGCTGAACAAAATAACGAGTTGTTGATGAAAAATCATGAATCTAGACCCACGAGGTCTACTGCGGTCCCTGAAATAAATGCTGTAATATCTAAACAGGGAACCGGAACTGAAAACAGCCAGACATATGTGCGTGGAAATACCTCGGGACGTGGCCGGGGTCGTGGACGTGGACGTGGCCGTGGCCGTGGATATGGCCCAGATCGCCGATTTAACCAAGGCTTCAAATTTCACAGAGGGTACAACTCGGGCCGAGGGAATTATCGTGGACGAGGCCGTGGCTATGTCCAAAATTTTGAAAGGGGGAGAAATTTCCAGCGAAAATTTGAACAAAATAATGTGACGGAAAATAATAATGAAAATGCATGTTATCGATGTGGAAAAACGGGACATTGGGCACGAAACTGTCGTGCTCCGAAACACGTGGTTGA